ATTGGTTGCCTCCTGCATGCACCCCAGACTGGGGATCTAGCCTGCAACCGAGTGGGATATGTGCCCTTGGCCAGAATTGAACCCAGGACCCTTCAGTACACAGGCCGACACTCTAACCACTGAGCGAACCCTGCTAGGGCTCTATGCAGCTCTTTGATGCTATCTGAAAGTTTGTTGCATCCTGAGCAAATCGTTTGTTTGTTTGTTTGTTTGTTTGAATCCTCACCCAAGGATATGTTGTGGGTTTGCTTTTTTTAATTGATTCTAGAAAAAGAGAAACATTGATCCATTGCCTCCCGTATGTGCCCCAACTGACTGTGGATTGAACCCACAACCTGGTTATGTGCCATGACTGAGTCAGGAATCAAACCCAAAACCCTTTGGTGCATGGGACTATGCTCTAATCAACTGATCCACACTGGCCAGGGCCTGAACAAATCATTTAAAACTTGCCCAACCTGTGTGGGTCAGTGGTTGAGCGTCAACCCAGGAACCAAGAGGACACCAGTTTGATTCCTGGTCAGGGCACATGCCCAGGTTGTGGGCTTGATCCCCTGTGAGAAGCATGCAGGAGGCAGCCAATCAATGATGTTTCTCCCACATCAATGTTTTTCTCTCTATCCTTCTCCCTTCCTCTCTCTATAAAAATCAATAAAAACATATTTAAAACTCAACTAGTAGAGTACCATGTACAAACAGAAACCCCAGATCTAGGCAGCAGGAAGTAGTTTAAAAACAGTGGGAATACGGGCTTGGCCGAAGTACCTGGGGTTATGACTCTGTCTTTGTGTCTGAAACATAATATCAAATGAGGTTTGGCAAAATGTAAATGTGTGTGTGTGTGTGTGTGTGTGTGAAGATAGAGATGAAGCAAAAATTGTCCATTAGTAATAGTTGGTGAATCTAGGTGAAGAGAACATGGGACATGTTTATACTCTCCTTAAAACTTTCCTATAAGTTTGAACTTCCTTTTCAATAAAAATCAAATATGAGTGTACAAACATAGTATGAATGTTTAGATCTCTGGTTTAGAAAAAGGAAAGGTGCCTAGACTATCCCATATTCACTGCTATCCTATCAAATAATCGGAGACATTGATCTTAGAGGGATAAAGAGGCTTTCTGGCACAAAGTAGCAGGCTGGGCATGATTTAGTTGCCAGAATTTGTGTTCATCAGATTTAATCAGCAGGTAAAATTGGAGAAAGGAAAAAATACACAGAAGCATGGTCCATCTTGGCTTTCACTGGGAGTGGAGTAAATGGACTCCAATACAAACCGAGGAACCAGGGTCTTCATGATCAGTCAGTGCTTTTGGTATACGAATGTCTAATGCAGACAAGTACATTGGAAGGCTGACTGCTAAAGCCTGGCAGTGTAGCTGACAGGTGCTTGAATTGCCTTAGAGCCTTCAGGGTGCTGAAGGCCTGTGGCAGGGGGGAGCTTACAATGCCCCCAACCCCCTACCCAGGCCTTTGTTTTTGTTTTATCAGCTCTTATGTTTCCTTCAGCCAAGTAGGCCTGGAAAGTAACCAGAAGGCCTTTCTGTAAACTTGTTCTTGATGTGCACTTTATGCTGGAACAAAGATGAGAACATGGAAGAGAAGTCTTTCTTTTCTGGGTGTCCATAGCACCTTGTACACATCTTTATTCTAGCTCTTGGCCCCCCTCAATTATGAGTGTCTCCCTCCAGAGCATAAGGGTTCTTGGAGAAGAGAAGGGAACCCATGTGGGGATACTTCAGCCATGCCAGCATTGTGCTGGTGCCCCGTTAATCTTCTCAGTCAATCCTGAAGCCTCCTGCCGCCTAAGGAGGGCTCTCGTCTCCATCATACCCACAAAGTACAGCCTTGAGGAGGTAGTTTCACTTGCCCCTCTTTAAAACACAGGAAGAAGCAGAGTTTATCTGAGTGCAGAGCACAGGCTGGGTCCAAGGGCATGCAAGGTGACTGGGAGCTAGAGCTCGTTACAGGAATAAGGAAGGAGTCATGGGGGAAAGGATGGAGCTAGAGGTGACATCAGGAGAGACTTCGGTGAAACAGTTCTGTGGGGATAGAGATGTAAAATGGAGAGGGAGTCTCTGCGGTCACAGAGCATGTGAAGAAAGCTAGGGAAGGTCAGGAGCCCTGGGAGGAGCAGAGGAATATGGTGAAGTGGAAGGGAGAGGGATCTGAGACTAACAAATACCCAACCATGGTAGTGACCACACACACCAACTTCTGCTTGATTGGAGCTGACATTTGAATGGAGGGAGGGAGCAGAGACGAAACAAATCTGTAGATAGATAGCATGTCAGATGGGGCTGAGCATCCTGGATCCAAGGGAAGTGGAGGGGTAGGAGTTACTAGTTGAAAGAGATGGTCCAGGACAGCCATGGTGCTGGCATTCAAGCAGAATTTTGGAAGAGGTGAGAGAGTGAGCTTTGCACCTATTTAGGCACAAGCACTGGGCACTTGGGGAGGAGGGAGCTGCAAGTGCTAAGACCCTGAAGCAGGCATATGCCCAGTGTGTTCAAGGGGCAGCAAGGAAGCCAGGGCACTGGAGTGGTGGGAGGGAGAGTGGGGGAGCACAGAGGAGTGAACAGGCCAGTGAAAGAACTTGGGCTCTACTTGGTACAAGATGCCAAGACCTTGGTTGGTTTTTGGCAGAGAGTAATAAGCAGGGTTAGGTTTTAACAGGCTCTCCGTGGCAGCTATGTTGAGAATGGGTATGGAGGAGCAGGGAGGCCACTGCAGTGATGGAGGGAAGAGATGTTTGTGGCCAGCCTGAGATGGTGGCAGTGGGAGGATGAATAAGTTCAGTGTGTCTTAAGAACCCATGTTCTCCAAAAGGATTGAATATTTGGTTTGTGCATGGCTGTGGATAAAAGGCCTTGTGAAATGGCAAGGTTCATGCTTATGTTTTCTGCTTTGCTCTTGGGCTCTGTTTAGCCTGCCATATGGAGGAAAAGCCTCCCTCTATGTTCCGAAAGCTCCAGTCGCCCTTGCCACATTGCATTGATTACCTATGGTTCCCCTGTCTCTGTGATCTGAGACTTAGGGTGCATGTGGGTGTAGTGAAGAGGAAGTCACCCCACAGGGTGGGAGGGGCCGTTCTGAGGAGCAGCCTGTGCTCAATGCCAGAAGTTTGCCTGATCCTCAACTTCCTGATTCATGTGTGTCCTGCATGTGTACCTAGGTTCATTTGGTACCTTCTCTTACAGCGACTGGCATTTGTTGATGTGGCAATCGGATGGTTTGGACCAGGACTGGGGGCTGCGTGTGGGATGGCATATACTGGCAAGTACTTTGACAATGCCAGGTAAGGTGCTTACCCAGAAACCACTTAACTGTTCCCATACCACCCCAGGCACTTTGGCTTTATGGCTTATTAGTTTGGAAAGACAATGATTATTGTGAAAGTTCAGGTTACCAAGTGTTCAAGAAGTATAGAAATCACGTTTCTGGAAACTGTTCTAGTATCTCTGATTGGGCTAAGTGCCGCCTGCCATATAGAAACTAGACTATTGGGACTCTAATCTTTCCTAAGAAAGACGTCTTCCTGTTCTCCATGTCTCGGTGAGCTTTACTAGAGAGTGAACAGATGGCACATTTGCCTTTGCATTGGGGACCCCTAAATATTAATATAATCAAAGATTTCTTTTTCTGGAGTGGTTCCACCTTTCTGAAGACAGGCAGATCAGTGCCTTTCTTACAGGGGCATGTGCCCAGCTGCTGCTGAAATGGGAACAAGGCAGAGGCTGGGTGGCTGGGTGTGGGGGACCCAGGGGCTGTGGTAGTGTGCATGTTCAGAGCCCCTCAGTCCCCAGTTCCAGCCCAGGCGGCCCCTCTGGAGGCAATTCATACTTCCTCCACTGCTCAGGCAGCTGCCCTGTTCCATTTCCCGTAAGTGTTGACATTTTTATCTCGTCATTATTGGTTCTATTAGTCCCTATCCTGCAGTTAATCACTTTTTAAAACTTACAGCATTTTTGTGGGGTCTGGGTTGTGTTTTATTGATATAAATGTTTCATGTTTCTGCTATGAAGGAGTTTACCATTTACAACAGAACATGTGCTCCTGAGGTGTAGAGTGTTTTGATTATTGTGATTATTGTAAATAAATTTGTAAGGTCAGAAGTAGAATGTGGCAGTGCTTAAAATGGAGCTTACAAAAAAACTGTGTATGTAAATGTTTGGGTGTTTAAGGGAGCTGCTTTCTTCCCATCCCCTCTTGTTTGTTGAGCCCAGAGAAGTGGCAGAACCTCAAAGTAGCCTTTACAGCTAGAATGAGAAAACTAGCCAAAGGTGAAGCCCAACTCATGAGGCCCAAGCTTTTAAAGCTGTGTTTCCTCAGATGTTGAGTTTGAACTGGGTGGACAAGAAAAATAATCTTAGGAAATTGATGATCTGAAGCAGTTGCCTCTGGGCTGTTCCTTTGTCTCCATGAAATGTATTTGCTTGAGTGACCCTGGAGAGACCCGAGCAGAGTCCTAAACTTCTTTTGGCTTGCCCCAGCTACCGAGTGTTCTGCCTCTTGGGAGATGGCGAATCTTGGGAAGGCTCCGTCTGGGAGGCGTTGGCCTTCGGTTCTCACTACAATCTGGATAATCTCATGGCCATCTTTGACGTGAACCGCCTAGGACACAGTGGCGTCTTGCCCATTGAGAACTGCATAGACATCTATCAGAAGCGCTGCGAAGCCTTTGGGTAACTGACCTGTTTTATGCCACCTCTTTCTACCCCATCCACCCTTCACCTTGTAACCTGGCTGCCTCCTTGTTTGACAGGTGGAACACTTACGTGGTGGATGGTCGTGACGTTGAGGCACTGTGCGAGGTGTTCTGGCAAGCAACTCAAGTGAAGAACAAGCCTACTGCTGTAATTGCCAAGACCTTCAAGGGCCGGGGCACTCCAAGTAAACAAGTGTTTTCTGCTTGGGGTTATTAGAAACATGTATCTGCACAGAAGACAAGGCAGGAGACTCAGGCTGGCCAGGCAGACAACTGACTTAGTGCACAATGACTATGCCTGAAATATGTTCTGGAATCTCTTGTTCTCCTTGGCTTTTATAGATAGCGTGTCTTGTTAGGGTAAGAGGGGAAGCACAGATGTCCAACAAGTGAGCAGTGATTTTCTGCCTACAGGAGAGAGTAGCTAGGAGGATAGTCCAGTTAGAGGGCTAGCAGGGAACGATCTCCACAGGACTGCAGAGTGAGAAGGTGCTACTGCATGCATGAGCAGATATGTAAATAAGGGTGTACACACTCACGTTTGCCTGTGCCCACACCATCAGGGGAAACATAGGCAACTAGTAAAGTGGTGCCTCTAGGAAAGGTAGCTGTGTGACGGAGGGCCTGGGGAAGGAAGGGGTTTTGAAAGTCGTCTTGTAGATTTCAAAGCTAGCACCTAAAGTTGTTCATCTCAAATATAGATAGTTGCAAAGGGTGTAATTTCTGTTGTGTTTTAATAAAGAAATTTTAGAATAAAAGTGTTCTTTCTGGCTCCTCCCCAGAATAGTCTTACTATGGTATCCCCAGTTCAGGAAATGACCGCCTGACCGATTTGCTTCTGGCAGAAACCTGGGTATCATCCTTGCCTCTGCCTCTCCCTTTCCCTTACATGCCCCTCCTACATACATACCCAGTCCACTATCAGTTCTGACTTCTACCCCTAAAGTATATCTCAAATCTTTTCACTCCTTTTCATCTCTCCTGCCCAGACCCCTGCCATCTCTTCCTAACTGCTATCTCCACAAGCTAGTCCCCACAGGGCTACTGTGGTCTTTCTACACCACAGGTCTGATCAGTCACCTCCCCCACTCCAACCCTTCAGTGGTTTCCCATCTCATTTTGGACAAAACTCAAAGCTCCTTATACATATGGGATCCTCCATGGTCTGCCCTGCCTGTCTCTCCAGCCTCATCTCCCTCATTCTCCCCTCCATTCACCAGCACATGGACCAGTGGCCCATTCAAAAGCCTCTGAGCCTTTGTCCAGGCTGTTCTTTGGGAGTGCAATACCATCTCCAGCTGTGCGAGATTTTTACTCCCATGAGCCCTTGGCTGACATCTTTTCCATCAGGATATCTTTCAGATGACCTAACAGGTGCTTATTAAATATTCATAGAATGAACGTCTTTTATTACTTTGGTTGCAGGTGTTGAGGATGCAGAAAATTGGCATGGAAAGCCAATGCCAACAGAAAGAGCAGATGCAATTATCAAACTAATTGAGAGCCAGATAGAGACCAACAGGCAGCTCGAACCAAAACCCCCTGTTGAAGACTCGCCTCAAATCAACATCACGGACATAGAGATGACCTCTCCACCTGCTTACGAAGTTGGTGACAAGGTAAGCAAACTGCTTTGTTCTCTACTTTCTAAATCCACAGGACTCTTTATTTACTCATATCCATAGATGAACCAATTATTAGATGGTGTGACATTTAAAAGGTATAAGCAAGTCCAGCCAGCGTGGCTCAGCGGCTGAGCATCAACCTATGATCCAGGAGATCACAGCTTGATTACCGGTCAGGGCACATGCCTGAGTTGTAGGCTCAATCCCCAGTGTGGGGCATGCAGGAGGCAGCGATCAATGACTCATCATTGATGTTTCTATCTCTCCCCCCTCCCTTCTTCTCTCTGAAATCAATAAAAACATTTAAAAAAATAAAGTCATAAGCAGTAAAGATGGGTTCTCTTTTACTATGTCTGATATTCTTTGATTTCAAACTTACATCTGTGAATTTTCTTATCAATCATTTGCTACTTATTAGTGCCTAGCATTGTGTAGCTTTTGCTTGCTTCCTAAAATCAGTTTGTGATTTGGCAATCTACTGTGCATGAAAAAATTCTGTCTGCTCTAAGGTTGAGGGCCTGGCTGGGCTGATCTTTTGACCTTCCTGGATTACACAAGTAAGAATTAAAAAGACCAATTCTTCAAAAAGGAAACAAATTAGGCATGAAACCATGGACATAAAGTCTTTTCATTTTTATCATTTTTTTAAAAAATTTAAGTTTTACTTTTTATTATTTTTTTAAATTTATTTTTGTTGAAAGTATTAGATATCCGCCCCTTTTTTCCCCCCATAGATCCCCTCCACCTCAGGCCCTTACCACACTATTGTCTGTGTCCCTGGGTTATGCATATATGCATATAAGTTCTTTGATCTCTCCCCCCCACTCCCCCACCCCCGCCTTCCCACTGAGATTCATCACTCTCTTCCTTGCTTCTATGTCTCTGCATCTATTTTGTTTCTCAGTCTATTTTGTTTATTAGATTCCACATAGGAGTGAAATCATGTAAAACTGAATCAGGAAAAATCAGAAAACCTGAATAGGCTAATAACAACTGATGAAATCAAAGCAGTAATAAAAAAAGCTCCCAGCAAACAAAAGCCCTAGTCCGGATGGCTTCACAGGGGAGCTTTCTAATTCTTTAAGTTGTAGAGTTAGATAGTTTACTAAAACTTTTTCTTGCTTTTTGAGGTAGGCCTGTAGTGTTGTGAACTTTCCTCTTAGGACTACTTTCACTGTGTCCCATAGGTTTTGTGTTGTGTTCATTTTCATGTTTCCAGGAAGTTTTTTATTTATTTCTTGATCTTATTGGTAACCCATTCATTGTTTAATAACATACTATTTAGCCTCCATGTGTTTGAATGTTTTTGAGTGTAGTTTTACTATAGTTGATTTCTAATTTCATGCCATTGTGATCTGAGATGTTTGATATGATTTCAATCTTCTTGAATTTGTAGAGACTTGTTATCTCTGATTGGGTGATTTTTTCCTATCCTGATTCTAATTCGCTGATCTGATCCTCGGCTTCCTCTAATCTGCTGTTTGTTCCTTCCAGTGTATTCTTTGTTTCTGCTATGTCATTCTTTTTTTTTCTTTT